CCATCTTGATGGCAAAGAGCCTCTGTTTGATGGTTCCCTCTGTCCTGCCCATCACATGCGCCAAGTAGGTCATGAAGCGAAGCAATTCGTCTTCGTCGTCCTTCCGCTCCTCCTTGGATTCCCCCGTGAGGTAGACGTTCTTCTTCCCCATCCGGCGCCAAAGACACCATTGCTTCCAACCAACCTCATAGCCCGCACGCGTTCCCTCCGAGGGCTTGGACATGACCGCCTCTGCTGCCAATGCGTCGAGCCAGGCTTGATCTCTGCGTAGTTCACGATTCGCATCAAGCTGTAGCCGTTGGCGTCCTCGACCAATTGCGCTTGGGAGCACCAGTCTATCAGGTGGTGCTGAATTCGCCCTTCTCACATTCGGCTGTCTACGACCGCCAATCCTCTGCGCCTCTTCTGGGCTTGCTCTCTGGGCTGCCAACCACTTCTCATAGCCGGCTCTGGGATTCTTCTGGTCTCCCTTCCAGGCCCGCATCCATGCTCGCACCTGGTCGTCAGCATTGATGCGATCAAGGTCCTTGCACACCCCCACCTTGCTGTCTGCTTCCTGGGTCTGGGTCCTCTCCGTGCGCCATCGCTCGAACCAAGCCATCAGACGGTGTGCACTCTGTTGTGGGAACTTCATGGCCGCATCCTTCTTGAAGAACTCCTCATCGGCCCCTGCTTCCCGAAGTAAGTGTAGCTCCTCAATCCTGCCCCCATTGAGGAGCCATTCTTCTTCTGCCCCAAGCTTGCGTGCTTGAACCCGTTCGCCTCGATGGTCTAGGACTATCATTGATCGACCCTTCCGGCATGTCAATGCGGGGCCTCTGATGTCATAGAGGAGCTCCTTCTTGTCCGCCTCCTTGTAGTGACCGGCTGGCCATGGTAGCATCCGATCTCCCGACGTTGAGATTTTGTTGTTGACGATCAACTCGATGTTGCAGTCAAGCCAGCTCCGTTTCACTGCCGTGGCCGCTGGGTCCAAGGTTCTCTGAATGCTGCATGGTTCGGCTGCACACCTCGGGGCCAAACCCGGGTCTGGCTCCTCACTGGTCCCCACCTTGATGAACCCCAGGACCCTTTTTGCCACCGGGTCCCCATAATGGGTGGTCAAGCAGTCATAGGTTTTGCTCCCATAACCCAGCTTCCGGAGGTCCTCCTGTAGCGCCCCAACTGGCCCGTCCTTAGCCACGTCGATCAGAACGTTCTGAGGGCGGTATTCCTTGATGAAGTTCTTCACGTAGGTGCGCGAGCTGCCCCAGCTATCTTCCGCAATGGAGGCGAAGACCCACACCAAATCCTCCGAATCCACGAGCTCTGTCCCCCGCAAAGTCGAATCTTCTATCGCCTTCTCCGGCTGAGATCGGCTACCTGGCAAGCGAAACACATCTCCTCCCAGGCGTGACCATGCGATAGCCCAAGGCAAGCGGCCTTTCCCCAGCTCGATGGAGTTGCCCTTCGCGACCACGGGGCAATAAGGCTTCGAACCACTCTCATGGGCTTTCACTATCCTACCAAGAGTCTCCCCTCCAGGCCACCTGAAGATGCCCTCGATCGACTCCTTGATGTAGTGCTCCCACCTCTCTTGGGCATCAACCTTCTTCCAACCCTTGAGCTCCATCGCATCCTCCGCCACCTTCTTTGTCTCGCGACTCAGCCAGTCCGCCGTGATGTTGTGGTACGTCCTGATGTAGAAAGCCAGCGTCTTGAAGTGATGCCTGACCTCCAGCATACCCAGCACCCGTAGTATATGCTTTGCCACCGAACAGCGCGACTGCCTCCTTGTCAACCACGACCGGACATTCTGATTGTCAGTGGCATAGGCGATCACCTCCCCGTGCCAACGCGAGCCCTCCGCCGCAGCAAGCCCAACGAAGCATAAGAGCTCAGCCAAGGCTATCTTCATCTCTGGCTCCTCCTCGAGTTCAGGGACCTGTCCCAGGGCCTTGAGCATCATCTTCGCATCCTCCCGCATGTAGCGCTGCGCTTTCCAATCGAGCGCCCCCGCCACCTCAGGGGTTGCATCACCTCCAACCCAACGAAGACGACCGTTCATGCCGGGAAGCGCAAGGAGCTCTCGAGTGGTGAGCATGCTCTCCATGGATGCCTCGAACGTACCCTCATAGGGTGTTTCAAACCAGAGTCTCAAAAGGCCCAATGTCTCGTCCCAGCACCTCCAAGCGTTCTCCACCGCCTCGATGCTCTTGACATTCGGTTGGATGTAGCCTCCTTCGCAGCGACTGGGACAGAGAAAAAGGTCCATAGTTCCAAGCTCTGTGCGAAGTGGTGGGATTGTGATGGCTGCGTATTGGCTAAGGCCCCGCAGCTCCTGCGCCACTTTCAAGCGCACCTGGCGGACACCCCATTGGAGCTCCGGCAAGGCCAACAGGTAGCGCATCTTCAGGGCTTTGGGTTCCGGCAGCCTGATCGTCATGCTTTCGACGTTCATGTAAAGCCCCCACACGATCTGTTCGGTTGCGGGCGTCCCCTCTTCGACCTGCTTCTCCAAGTTCAATGCCGCCTTGCCCCAGATCTTCTCGATGGAGTGGCCCAGAGCGTCCACCGCCTGCCACGGGCGTACCCCAAGCAACGGCTCGACCACCACACTGTCATCCATCAACCATTCAGAAGAAAATGGGGTTGGCCCATTGACGTTCTCCTCCTCCGGCTTGAAGCTCTCATGGTATGCCCTACCTGCCAAGGCAAAGGCCATGTATTCACCGGGAGCGCCACACCAACCAAAGGGGAGTCCCCCGTAGACCAGTTTGACTCTGCCTTCAACGCCCACTGGGCCGCCGGGTAGAGCGCTGCCGAAGTCTGCTGTATCCTCCGGCGCCACGTCGTGCCACTTGAAAGCCCGGCTGACATCCAGCTTCGCGATTAGGCGCCTGATCCCAGGATTTCTTGCCCGCCGCCAAACGGCCTTCCGAGCGATCTGCCTGTGTCTTGGTTGAACCGCAGGTGGATGTTGATACTTGTGCGTGGCCGCATTGGCCGTCATCATGGCATGTATTGGTCTCCCCTCAGCACTGATGCTCCGGTCTGGTAGTTGCTTGGGAACTCGGCCTTGAGGGCATTCGATGAGGTTGCTCGTACAATCCTCCGTGGCGTCCGATGCGAAGAGAACAATCCCCCAGTGGCCGTCCTTCCAGGCTTTCTGGTACATCTCGTCGATATGCTCGATCGCCGAGGGGTAGGGCTCTGCTTTCAGCCTGCTTGCTGGGTAGTACCTGCGCGTCCTGACCCCATCTGCATTGGTGACCTTGAGGAAGTCGGCGGGACTTCTGGTGCGGTTGCTCCTATCGTAGGGATACCGACCAGCTGTTGCCTTGCTTTCCTCAATCCCTGCATAGCCCCCTCGAGCGTACCAGCTGCACGTAGGAGAATGTCGCCCAGCTCAACCGCGGTTTTGATGACTTCAGGAGTGTACTTGGGGTGGTCACGGCAATGCTTCACATACTCCATGGCTTTCTCCAGCACCTTCACCTCCACATCCAGCCTCACCGTGCCATCCTCCGTGGCTCCAACACAGCGCTCTTGCATGCCAGGTTGACAGGTCAGCCACCCGTTAGCCTCCTCCTCCTCATACTCAAGTATACACGAAGCCGAAAGGTAGCCCACCCTCCTGTCAGCAGCATCATCTCCACGATCAGGGTCTCGACCACGCGACCTCGATCTCGATCTCCTTCTTCTGTCCCCAGAGCCGCTTGCGGGTTCACTCGAGTCTGCTTGCTGCTCCTCATTCTCGATGCGGCCTCCATTCCAAGGGTCCCAGACTCCTCCACCTGGGTAATGCCGCGTGGCTGCTTCCAGCTGCTCTGTTGTGGGTCGAGGGAATTCTCTCGGAGAACGGAACACTGGTCTGTAGTCCCGGCCTTCCGGGTAGCTGGGCCTATGTCCATCAACATCTCCTTCTCCCTCATCGGCTACGGGATCGAACGGATCGACTGGCTCCTCTTCTCCCAGGCCTCCTTCTTCCTGCCCATGCCCAAAGTGCTGCCCAAGCTCTGGTCGGATGGTTGGATCATAGAGGTAGAACGTAGTGGCCCCTGTCCAGTCTGCATACTCCGCCTCGATCGAGTCCGGGATGTCCCTCAGCCTCGCCAGGTCAACGCGCCAGTTGTCGAGGAATACTCTTTCTTGCGGCTGAATCTCTGACAGGTCCCTCCTTTGTGGGTACATCCATGTTCTGCGATCGCTCCGGATGAGGTGGTCGGAGGTCGGGCAGTCAACCCAATCTCCAAAATGCGATCCAAACATAGTCCGGCGTGGCATCACATGGTGGCGAACAAGGCAGAGATTGTCTTCCTGTAGATCCCACCAGTCCTCTGAGCGTCCATTAATGCCTTCAAGTGGACGTGGCGGGCCGAACACATCGATCCCTCCTTCATAGGGCCTCACTGGCATCGCCACGTCGCCGGGGCTCACTTCCCTGGGGACCAGTCTTGCCATGACCCTTGCTTCATCTCTAGGGTTCATGCGGCGTTCCTCATCACTCGTGGCCGCCTCCTCCTCCTCGCCTTCACCTTCATCATCCGGGTCGGGTGGGATAGTCAGGCCATGCTGGAACTCACCCTCCCCAATGCTGCCGCAGTAGTTGCTACGAAGAAGGTTGAACCCCTCTTGGAACTCCGAAGCTTCAGCGCTGCCGCAACGTCCTGGGCGATGTAGGTCTGGAAGAAGGCGTTGTTCTGGATGTAGGTGTATGGGGGCCTGACCTGTTTTCTGTGGCATCTGCCCTTCTCGGCCATCTCCCTCCTGGATCACCTCCAAAGCTTGAGCCACCTGAATGGTGTCCCATCCAGCATACGCAGCTTGCACCACCAAGGCCCAGCCTCTACACAGCCTCATCGGGTAAACTTGTGCTTGCCGGGTGCGAGGAACTCCAGGAAGGTCTGATTCTCCTTTGACCTCCAGGTGCCGATGGCGTCCTTGGCATCGACGTGAGAGGAGCAACGCATACAAGTAGAGCCCGGGGGACACGAGATTCCACTGGCCCTTCTTGTACCTCATGCTGAACCCCACTCGCGGAGGTGGGTTGGCACGATGAGTGCTCCTGTCGAACGCTGCAGCCGCTGGACCGCTGGCTGATCCCAAATCTTGGGATACCTTCCAGAAGGCATGGAGGACTCCAAGATGAACTCCTTGTCGTGCGCGTAAAGGGACTCGCACATGCGGCAGGTCAGGCTGCAAAAGTAATTGCCCTCCTGCTCGCTCGAAGTGGGCTGTGGTCCTCCTTCTGGCGCACTGAAGCTGCGGGTCCCTCCATTGAGGATGTTGAAGTCGCAGTAGCTGGTGCACGGGGTTCCGAATTCCCAGACATTCGCAGCACATGGTCCCGGGAGCTCCATTGTCGCCTGCAAATAGCGGTCCGCGACCTTCTCGTCCTTCAAGTCGAATTGGTCTTGCCGACCTCGTTTCTGTAATGGGTCGCTAAAAAGCTCGATAGGCTCGTTGGCGGCCAGTCCAGCTTCCTCCATGGCTTTGGTCCATGTCCCGGAGCCTGCGAACACTTCTTGAACTCGGACTCCATAGGCAAAGGCCGGCCGATGCTTCAAAGGCGATTGTGCTCCCATCAAGATCAGCTCCTGCGTGTCCACTGGGTGTTCGTTGAAGCTCCATGGAACTTGAGGGGCTGCTTTACCCTGTTTCGGGTTGTTGTCTTGACATCGTGGACATCGCGGCCTCTTCCCTGGCACCAATGGCGCTGCTGGGTCCTCATTGGCGAGGAATTCGCGCCATCCTTCGCACGGCCATTCGTGGTCGGACTGGCCACTCAGCGTCACTTGTGCCGCCACCTTCACAGGCTCCTCCTTGTCGTTGGGGACGAGCAGTCGGATGTGGCCTCCATGTATCAAGAACGGGATGATGTGGTTTTCACTGCCCGGTGCGCTGCCCACCAAGTGATCTACATGAACTTGTCCTCGACAGTTCAAGCGCCAGCATTGCAGGGTGACCTCCTTCAAGTCCTCCAGGGCAAATGCTTGGAAGAGCCTGTAGTCTTTGTCGTGGTGGGCTCTCAGGCAATCGTGTGCGAAGCCTCTGACTTCCGCTTCACGGGCTCCAATCCAAGGGGCTGGGTCCCCCAGCTCTGCGATTGCCCGTGCTGCTTCGTCCCAAAGGCCAGCTCGTAGGATCTGTGCCTTCTTCTTCACCTCCTCCATGCTGGGGATTCGCTCGGGATCCCAGTCTCCTTCCCACAGGAGGACACCTGCTGCTGGGTGAAGGACCAAACATTGACGTTCCTCTTCTTCTCCAGGCTGTAGTCCAAGCGCGCTCGCAAGCTCATCTGGGACCGGCAGCTTGTCCTTATAGTCGATGTATTTCCAACTGCGGCGATCAGCTCCGCATAGGAATTCAAATTTGCCCTCGCCGTAGCCCTTGTCCTTGTGCCAGGTGGTAGAGCTGACCCAGGCCTGTCGCTCCTCATCAACCCATCCAACAGCACGCTCCTCACCAAGGATCTTCTCAGCTTCTTGCGCCAATTCTTGGCATCCCTTCTCCGTGGCTTCCAGGAGGATCTCATCGATCGTCATCTCCTGCTTCTCCATGACGGCGTTGAGCATGCGGCCTCTCACGTTTGATTGGAGGTATCCAGTGCAGCTTGAGATTCGTGAGAATGCACCACCCTTCTCGAGCTCCTCCAGGACTTTTAGCCTCTTCTGTGCCTCCGGGTGTTCAACCCGCTTGTCCCACACAGTCTGTGGCTCGCCCTTGCCCTTCAGCGAAGGATCCTTCAGCCAGTCAGCGTCTGGCCCTCGCGTCAACTCCCTCAACTCGTCCTCGAGCTGCGTGTACTGAACTCCTTCATATTCCTCTGGAGGAAGCCAGCCCTGCTTCTGCCCAGCACCCTCCTTCACCTTCTCATCGTGCTCCGACTTCGCTTGCGCTCTCAGTTGGGCTATTCTCCCATCGATCTGCGCTGGCTGAATCATGGGCCCACTCTTCAGTCCTCCACGGCGTATGAGCTGCGCCAGAACTGTCCAATGCAAGCCCTTGGTAGTGTTGATGGGCTGATGTGCATGGTTGCATTCCTTGCCTCTGCTGCACCCCATGTGGGTGGCCCCGTCCCAACAGATTGGTTTCCCTTCTTTGGTACGAGGTCCATGCTTCACCGACTCAGCCGCTTCCCGAGGTCGAAGGCGCTTTCCAGCTGGATAGGCTTTCTTATCGTCCTTCTCCTTCTCCCGCTTCTTCTTGTCCTTGTCGTTCTTGTCACCTCCGCGATCACGTCCTCGGCCCACACGATCATCATCGCCACCAGGCTCTGCTCCTAGCGTGCTCCCATCGCCATCGGCTCCTTCTCCTCCAACTTTGGGTGCTTGGCGTTTATGATGTAGTTGGCCATAAATGATCCCCTTCAGTGCCCGCGCCTGCCTTGGCACGCAAACCTGCTGGTAGTAGCCATCTGGGTGCGCCAGGTTGAAGGTCCGAGGAAAGTGGAAGCCACTATCCGGCGCTAAAGCCACGAACTTCAGGTCCTCCTTGCGGGGGTTGTCCGTGTTGAGGATCCTGCAAAGCTGCCGCCTGCTCTCTCGAAGCTCCTCCACCCATGCCGCCTTGAGCTCCTCCCACAAACTGTAGCAGTAGTTCTCCGGCCAGACGTCGGAGTCCTGCTCGTGAGCCTTCTCGATCTGTTCCAGCGCTTTCAGCCTCTCCTTCTTGTGCTCCAGGCCCAGGACCGACCCAATCATCTTGATCTCATTCCTCGCCTGCTTCAACCAGGTGGCGAAGTGAGTAGGGTATCTGGGCTTGGGCTCGATCTTGTCATCCTTCGGCGCCTCGTACTGGTCAAAATCACGAGGCTTCGCTGTCACGGCATGCGCCACACTCAACTGCCAAGGCGCCAGTGTTGCATGATCTTTACCTCCGTGTTGTAGGGCAGCCAAGCCGTAGGCTATTCCGTTGGTGACCAGGCGTGGCCATTCTATCTGTTGTAGTTTGGCCTTTGCATGCGAGCAAGCCCTTTTCAGGGCATCGAACAACTCCTTTCCTGTCACATCGGGGCAGACCTCCACTGTCAATGTGTTGCAGCCTCTGGCCAGGTAGACATCAAGGCTCTCCTCGGATCCGATTGCTCCTCGGGTCCCTGGGTTTCCTTTCTTGTCCCCTTCGGTCGCTTTCCTGATCCCTTCTAGTGCGTGAACCACTCTGGCACTCATGAAGCTATCTTCTTCGTCTCCTCCAGCTCCAGCGCGGGTTGGTGCGTCCTCCATCTTGTTCCCCATGCCGAAGAGCTGACCCACAATGCCATCGCTCGCCGTGAGAGGGTTGGTCTTGCTGATGTCACTTGCGGGTCGGATCAGGCTGCCCTCCTCGCGCCTTTCGCCGTAGTGGATCGGGAACAGCTTATCTGAGGTGCTTGTACTCAGTCTCTCCACAGGCCTCGATGGCGCCGGTTGAGCTTCAGTTCGTCCACCATCGTCCCTAGCGGTCTTAATGTCCTGGCCATTGAGCCCCTTGAGGACCCTGATGGCGATCTCTACCTGCTCATTTTGCTTCCCGCAGTTCTTCTTGATGTAGGACTTCAGGGTGTTCTTGATGGTCGGAACGTCCACCTCGTAGATCATCTGCACAGTGTCGATGGCCTCCTGGTGTGTTTGTCCGGACCCCGTAGCCGTAGCATAGGCCTCGATGATGTTGTCTCCCGACACTTCGTCAGGGTCGCAATCGACTAGGGCATCTCGGTCGACCGACTTCTTCACCTCGTCCTCCTCCTGCATCGCTCGGGCCAGGCTATGGCTTCTGCTTCGAGACCTTCTCCTCGGGGCTTCTTGATCTTGAGGTGCTCCATCATCACGTCCACGCACCTGCTTGTCGATCCCCAGCTCGGCCTCCGCGGGCCAACTCGGCCAGAGTTCTCCTTTGACGAAACCAGCGCTGTGCTTGTGAACCAGGGTCCTCAGCTTCTTCTTCACCTCGTGCAGCTGGATGTCATTCATGCGACGGCCACTCAAGATCGTCCTGCCTTCCCAAGCCATAAGGCGCTGCAGGATGAGCTCAGGGACTAGGTAGCCTTTAATATCTAGCCCAATGCTGGCTGCATCTTGCGGGATCTCCTTCACCAACTGCTGGGCCTTGATGGGGTCCATGTCCTCGATATTCTTCATGTCCACCATGTCGTCCAAGTACTTGGGGTCGATGACCAAGGTGTTCTCCAGGTACTTCACGTAGATCTCCAGCCTCTGGTCGCCTCGCACTCCTCCAGGCGTGTAGCCGGTCAACTCACCCACGCACATGATCCAATCGACCTGCCCGTCCTCGTGGTTCAGTTTGACCTTCAACCAAACTGGCTTCCCCAGCACCTCCTCTTGGTCCAATGCTCCACGTGGTGGTGACGGGATCATCACCTTGCCCAGGTCCACCGAGCTTGACCTTTTTGGGGCCATGCCACTTTCCTTCTTCGCCTGGGCCTGCGGTTCTCCCTCCTTGGTGACCGGCTTGGGGTCGCTCAGCCCTACGTCAGGGGCGGGGCTACGGCTTCGACTTGATGGCCTTCTGGTGAAGCGACGTCTGAAGCCCTGGAACATCCCGTTGGGGTGGGGGCTGTCCTTCCTGCTCCCTGAGCTTCCCTGCTCACAGAGGTGATCGTAGCAGAGTGGGACGCCATGCCGAGCGCCCTTCGATGCCTTGTGGCACGTAAGAACACCGCACTTCCTTTTAGCAGCTGCGCTTTGGTAAACTTGACGATGATGTGCACAGAGTGGGATGCGAACCAGTTGTCCAGGCCCCGGAGGTCTCACATCCGAGACTTCAATGTCCTCGTCCAACAGGGTCGTCTCCTCCTGCGTCGCCTCATTGCAGCCATCCGGCGCGAGCGGCCGCATCTCACCATCAAGCACCAGGCCCACTCGCACCCCTTGGCATGATGCCTCATCACCTTCAACCTCGGATTCTGAATCGGGATCGAGGATGCGTTCTTGGCCATCTTCATTCCTGATCACTCTGCCCTCCTTTTTCACACAGCATAGTCTGCAGCAGCATCGCCCAGCACGCACCGCCAGCCCAAGTCCTCGCCAAACTCCTCGTCCAAGTAGTCCGAGTAGCCACCTAGGTGAGCCGTGTGCATAGCGATGAAGATCCAACAAGGCCTCATGGTCGACACCTGCGAATTCCTGGATGTGGAGCGCATGGTCCGCCCTGCACTCAAGCTGCCTGCACAAGTGGATTTCTCCAGCTTCCTCCAACTCTCTGCGGAACTGCCGCGATGTGCAACCTGACACACTGCTGAACTTCACCCTGAGCCCATCGCTGTCGATCCTCTTGAGAAGGCTTTCTTCCTGATGCAGCCTTGCCACATGCCCTCCTCGTCGGATCACCACATCGTTCAGCCGCCGTCTGCTGCCACGTCCTTTGAGGCGTTGTTGAAGGTAGCGGGTCTCCGTAGGCCACCCAGTTTTAGGTCCATGCCATTCGATGTCTACAGTGGGTGGGCGTGCACTAGGTAGATGTACATCCAGCTCATCACGCCTCCTGCAGCAACATAGTCCACACAGCATGTGTATACCCCTGCCGATCGCCCGGCAGGGGCCGGTCAAGGTATGGAGGCTATAGGTCAGGATTCCAAGCAGCCCGATGTTGAAGCTTGCCATGATGATGCACGCCATCCAAGGCCACCAGCTGCCGAAGGCCTGAACTCCAACCCCATCGATGAAGTAGCCTGCCCAACCGCCATCCATACGAAGTCGACCTGGTTGGTCCGGTGTTCCACCATGGAGCTTCGGAACCTGTCAGACTTGCAGGTGTCCAAAAGCCCCATATGGTGCCCTCGATCCACCAGAAAAAGCCCTCATGGTAGATCTTTTCGAAGGGTTCGGGAGTCGTCTCCTCGGTGGTTGCGTTTACCGAGTCAGCTTCTGCTGGCGTCTCCAGTTCCAGCTCTGATCGCCATGGCCAACCCACGACGAGGGCCGTGAGCCCCGTCAAAACGCGGCCCCACATCTATGCCACTGGCCACTGTGAGTGGCCAGATGGCCCTCCGAGCCGGAAATCTGAGGAAGCGAGTCATCCTCAAAAACCCTACGTCTTCCTATGTCAGACTTCCATGACGTTGAAGCGTTGCGATGCAATGTATTGGAGTGGTGAATTGCATTGTGACCATGATT